AAAAAAGCTATGTATTTCACTTACAATTTAAAGTTCGACGCTTTTGCTTTATCTTTCTTTTAAAGAATTTAATATTGTCAAACGTACACGTCCAAGCACTGGTATAAATATAAATCCATTCCTGTGAAGCTGTGGATAATGCAACGATAATCCAAATAGGAAATGAGCAAAGATTCGAGAGACGGGAACCAAGAAACCACCCATTTCAGTTCGTCCTGATTTACATAAACCACTAGAAAGTTACAAATGCAGCGTCAGTCCAAGCATTGATTATTCAGAAATCCACGGATGTCCGAGAATAAGAAAAAGGAGAATGGCCACGGGGACAGCCAGTGTCCACTTAGTACCCGCTACCATGAATTTAGTCGGGACGAATATTGGCGCGCTGCTAGGGTGACTCGTGCCAACGAAACTTCAAGTACCCGCGTTATTTAAGGGGGCACGAGATACGTACATTCGAGTTCTATCGTCGACCACTGGAGATTCCATCCGCCATAAAACGGAGAAAAGTGGAAACTTCCCTTTCCCGGGACAAGGAAAGAGAGCAAGGAGATATTGCGGAGATCTAAAGCCGTCGTCCTTCCTTTTTTCCATCTTCACTTCAGTGTTCTGCACCTTTTTTTTTACTTAAGGTCGGAACTAGCGCGTCCGGACTCCGACGCGGTCGGTAGAAAATTTCGAGTTTACCCCCGAATTTCTTGTTGATCTTTCATCTCCCGGCTCTCGGGAACGGCGAATTATCGGAAATTCAGTGAAGTAAAAAGTTACTAGATTCGCACGATAAATCTAGTTATTCGATCGCCAAGTGGTTCCTGCTAGATAAGAATAAAGTTTCACAGGAATACGCCGGAGCTGCCATTGACCTGACGTATAGAACTTCGATTTAGGCACGTTCGCGTAATCAGCTGCCTAATGAGCCGAATCTAGAACTACAGGCTGTTTCCGTAATGGCGGATCTTCGGCCAGACACGTCCGAGGGATCATAAATCACGGACTATTTGCGAAGAGCGAAAGTGATCTGACAGAACCAGCGAATTTGGATATTTTCTTCGTCGGAACCAAATTCTTGTTCAATCCGCAACATTGTAATATGGATCACAGGAAATGAAATAGTCGGTGGAAATTTAAAGAAAAATTTCTGCAGAATTTTTAGTTTCTGAAATATCATTACTACTACGCTCGCGTGCTCGATACTCGAAAGTCGAAAGCAGTTACTTACTTTTATTGCCGCGCGTAAACTGACACGTAATTTCTGCAAGCGCAGCTTTCGAAAACGTCGAACTTTAAACATATCGACTGTATGTGACTGCGACTATAATACGTCGGTAAATAACGTTTTCAGGACTCTGCCACTCGTGCAATCACGTTAGGCTTGGATACGTATTAAGACCTTAGCATATACGACGCATGAATCGACCACTTAAAATGGAAACGTCGAGAAAGTCATGCCTGTGGGGTTAAATTGGAATATCGCACACTCAGTGGAATCAAATCAGTTTGAATCGGTATAGCCCAATCTCCAGAAGAGAGAGAGAGAGAGAGAGAGAGAGAGAGAGAGAGAGAGAGAGAGAGAGATAGAGAGAGTAGAGAGAAGAAGAGAGAGAGAGAGAGGAAGAGGGAGGAATATTTCCATTAAAGTACTAAGAATTCGCAGAGAGGAAATAAGACCAGCGTTCGAAAGTAAACCGTCAATTATTCCTGAAAATTATAATTTCTCAAAAAGTTCTTGTTGCATTTCTGCGTCGAAATTCTGACATTTATAATACAATTTCATTATCATTATCAAAAAATGGAATAAAACAAATTTCAAAATTGTTCTTTATCAAAAAAGTTTGTAAGCCAAATATAATGAATGCCTTCTTATTACTTATATTCTTTTAATTTAATTTAATTTTAACTGTGCGATAATTATACAAAAGTTAAAACATGTGAATATATTGCGAAATTAATTAAAAAAATTTATTTTTTTCTATGGTGTTAATTTAATAAAAAGTAAAATTTAGTAAATAATTTTTAATTAATTAAATGACATTGAAACTTGTATCGAACTGATAACAGCTATATTTATGTCTAACGATATTAATATAGATCGATATATAATTATTTAATACATTAGTTTACACATTATAAATGAAATTGTTAGCTTTACATGTGAATACATTATATATTACATGCCATATCGAAATCAATCAAAAGCATAGTGCGATAAATTTCAATAAAAGTACGATCGTATAGTTATTCTTTCACCCGGTATCACTCCACGTCCGTATCGACTTCATCTTCGCAATCTTTCTTTGAAATCTTTTTTTTCTCTTTCATGGAATCCGCTCCGTACGAAAACCATCGTCATAGATCTACAATAGCTCTTCAATTTTTCAACCAGATATTCTCGATATAACCGCTTCAAAACGTCGGGAGCAATTCTTCCAATCGATCCTCGATATCTTGAATCTCGATTTCTCCTCTCGCTTAAATCTCGAAAACTACGTCCACAGCGCGGACAAGTATTGACAGAGAAGCAGTGACAGCTCCTCGTGTCGCTTAAAATCCAATATAAAATTAATATTCCGCTGAAGGCAATTTATTACAGTTTTAAAAAGAGGATATGAGATATAGACCAGCATCTTCTTAAAATACGACGTCATACATTATTATATGTATCTTGTGCCAGAATAAATTGTTTATGAGACGGACATTATACATATATGTTTATAAATAACTTTTGTTCTGATTTTTTTATCACTTATTCGCATACAATTAGTTTATCTTATTTATACGACTAAAAATTATATTTTGAGAAATCTGTCGATAAATAGATCGATAAACTACAAGAAAGAATTAATTCGTTTTTTAGAAAATTGAATTTTTCTATTTGACAAGCTTATTTGGTCATAACGTATGTGACGAAAAATTGCATGTTTTCTGAGTAGGATAAATCTACAGCAATTAGACAATTTATACAGATAGACATATCTTTTGCGTATGATGATATGATTTATCTGCATCTTGATAAAATGCTTGCAATTTAAAGATTTTGTAAAATAATATTATATACACATTTACAGTATAATATATATAATCAGATTATAATGATAAAATATATGATGTATAACATAAATATTTAAGCGCAGTCGTATAAAATATTTATTCTCTTATAATTACGGAACAATACAAATTATAATTTACACAAATTTAATAGTAGTGAGATTATTTCTTGATAAAAGAAAATATTAGTCTATTTATTATATTTGACAAATTAGAAATGTTTAGAAGAAAAATTTATTCATTTACCTTGATGCTCCTTTTTATAGTAAACCAGATTTTAAAATTATATGATTTATATGATGATATCATATTAGTCAACTATCGTACCGCGGTAACGCATTGATTCGTTACATTTTGTCGTATAATTCTTAGCTATTAACTTGCGAAACGACCGGCGATCAAAGGCGACAAAGCCGTAAAAAGTTCACGACCTCGCGAGCGCAAGAAGTGCAGATATTTCAATCTCTCTCTCTTTTTGCGAAATAAGCATTCTAGAACAAACAAAATTTTTTAAAGCCGACCATAGGCGGTGGCGGCAGCGGAGCCGGGCAAGCTGCGCGGACATTCCGGGAATACTGAGAATAACGTTCACCAGGCAATAAAGAGATAATGCCGAGCTTTGAGAAAAGAAGAGAACGTCCCTCGGTAAGTTCTTAACGGGACGTTCCGCCGTTCTGAGAACCTTCTATCCCCGAACGAGGCAATTACAGGCCGTGGTTTACCGGTCGCGTTTACACCCATAGCCTGCTTCTACCGTATAGGCTAAGCCCCCCGTACGATCGTAAACTTAGCTGACGGGATTCAACCTCTTTGGCATTGGCGTTCGATATCTCGAGGAGCTCTCGCGTCCCGCGCTCCGGCTACATCGTGAAAGCCGGTTGACCTCTTTCGTAGTATCAGTAAAAGTAATGCCGCGGAGGAAAAGAGAAGAGGTAAAGGATACGTGAGAGATCTATCACGTTGGGGGGAAGTAGATACTTTCAATAATGGTTTTCCCAAGGCCCCACGTGCGTGTTGTTTCTTATATTGCTATCGGGATCGTATCCGATCGCCGTTGGATGTCGCAAACGGAATAATCATTACGCCGCGCGCTGATCGTTTTTTGATGAATGCCCATGTAATTCTATAATTCTCCACTTGAACACCGCTCATTCTTTCGTACGCTAATCATGACTAGGAGCTAGAATAAAAGTTATTATGCGAATCAGCAATGACATGTGCCGTATTACTTGATAATAAAATAAACGTTATGATGGAACATCGCAACCAATATTTCCCGAAACATTTCCCTGATCAAGGAATAATTTTGTTGTCATAACATTTACAACGTTATATTACTAACATTTAACGTGTAATAACATCTATAAAAGCAGCATCTCATTTTCAGAATTTTGATATAATTAATAGAGCTTTGAATTATATGCAACTGAGGAAAATTGGTACATTGATATATATGTTCTTGCATATACAATCCGAAGTAAACTTATTAAACTTCTCTATACAATTTCGAATTTTATATTTGTTATATTTATATTTTATATTTAAAAGTAATTAATCTACTGGTGTAAACAGAATCAACATCGAAAACTTCTAGCAAATGTAATCTAAAAATTTGCAGTACAAAACTCGTTAGCTCAAGTTATAATTAAACTTTGTAATAAACTATTTTTAAACTGTTTCACATTTTTCAATATTATATTGAATTGCAATATATATATATATATATATATATATATATATATATATATAAGAATTTCATTAAATTTATGAGCATTTACTAGCAGTTTTCATTGTAAATTTACATTTTAAATCAAGAAAAATAAATATGTAACAACTGTTATTTAGAATTCATTATAGCTGTGATTATTAACATTTGAACCAATTTTCTTTTAAAAATTCTCAACATTTAATACAAGTGAATAAAAATTAAAGTGTATTATTTTTTTGTCTTGTAGCCAATGCAAAGCCATTGACGTTTGATGAAGTTTACAATCAAAGCAGTCCGACCAACTGCACGGTATACTGCGGTGGATTGACCAACGGTTTGACAGAGGAACTTATGCAGAAAACTTTCTCGCCTTTCGGATCCATACAAGAAATTCGAGTGTTTAAAGATAAAGGCTACGCTTTCATCAGGTAAATATATATTTTAATGTTTATAACACAATATTTGCACCGTATTAATAAATATTTTTAGACATGTCCATTGATAATAAATTGGTATTAAACAAAGTTTACATTCATCATTAAATTTCAAATAGAAAAGTAAAAAAAAAGAGAAATATGTATTATAACTTTTCTAAAGATTTATCGCAGAAAATAATAGCTCTGGTTATAATTTTTATATAATTTTTTAATATAAAAAGCAAAAGATACTGACTGGTCTTATTGGTCAATTCATTCATTATTTTTTATGGTCTATATAACTTTTTTTTACAAAAATAGTTCTCTTAAGTCAATCGACTTTATCTCTGTTCATTCAAATCGATTTTTTCTGGACATATTTCTGAATTTGTAATAAAAAATGGAAATATCTACAAACTCTCAGCTAATTTATTTGATAGTGTACACTGATTTAAACAGTCTGTTTTTTTTTATCTTACATATCGAAAATAACTTTAAATATTTGTCTATCTTTGCTAAAAATATATGTTGAAACTTTACTTATCTATTACAATTTTTTTCTAAATGAATATCATGGATTATTTCTCTATATCTTAATGAATCGTCGTAATTAAAAGTCGTTTTACTTTATCGCCGTTTAAATTACAAAATGATTTATCGATCACCAGGCTCCACAAAGAACACTTAAGGCCAATTCTCATGAAGAATTAAACGGAATTAAACGGAACTTTAGTATGAAACCCTTGAAACGATTTCACTGATTATATAATCAAAGTTCGTTAATTACCGAAGCTTTTTATCACCTTATAAAAACGAGAATCTAGGACAAAACTTTATTGTACTATCATTATTGTACTATCGTTATTGTAAATTAAATTAAATTCTAAATATTTTTTGACGATATGTTAATATTACTGACTTGAATAACTTTTCACTTATTTTCGCTTCTTGAAATGCTCAAATATTCAATTTATTCGTGTAATAAAAATTTATTTAGTATATATTACGGAATTGTACATACATTTATTTTTATTTTTATTTTTATTTTTATTTAATTTTTATAAATAAAAGTATATTATTATAAGACATTCGTATAAATATACAGCAAAATGATAATATTAAAAAATCTATATTTAATTTTATCTCGAAAGATACAATTTCTATAATCAGTTGTCAAGAAAAGATATGTTGTTCTTATCTAAATGTATTATTTATCAATCATCCTGAAATCATTACGCTGGATTGCTATACATATATTATGATGATATGCTTATATTGACTACCCGGATAAATTTATCACAAAACTGAACAATCTAGCCTAAGACCAATCAGAAATCATCATCGTATGTATACAAAGAATACATTTACATAAAATAATTGAATTTTGAACATGTAATACAATAGTTATGGCAAAACTTGAGGAAATTTTACTCAAAATTATGTGCGATGATTGGTATCAGTATAATGCGAGTCATCAAATGAGGTTTTACGAAATATTAGGAAATCGCATGAATAGTGCATCAATACCTACCGTCGCTTGTGATTTATGGCACGAAACGCGAGAACATGTCGGGTCAATGGCAGCATGTCGGACTCATCAAGCTCGAATCGTGGCCATTTCATTAATCTACCCATTACATTCGCACAGATCATATATTTCAGTTCAACTTCCCATACCCGACGAAATCAACTTTATATATGTTCCAAAAACCAAAATTAATAAAAGATTGCTAAATTTTTTAATAAAAATCGTGTTTTATAACATGAATAATTTTACATATATAAAATACACATATAAATAGAAATTAATTATTGTAATTAAAGATAAATTTTACGACATAGAGAACTGTGCTCATGTCGATATTTTCAAATTATAAGAAAAGAATTTAATACTTTAAGAAATCAGCTGAGCTATTTATATCTAGCGAAAGCGAATTCAGCGCTCTACCTTAACGACAACGAAGGATCCTGACCTACCTCAGAAAAGACTGAGGCTGAGAGTATGGGAAGGTTGCTCTAGAACAAACGATAAGAGAGAATACGAAGCAGAAACCTAGAAGGAAACAGGGACGGAAGAAGGATACAAAAAATCTTCTCTTACGTATCTCTCTCGCTCCCTCTACCCCTTACCCTTCCTTGCGCACACTACTCGATATCCTTGTCCGATACGATAGCCTCTACCGTTTCGTACGTCTACCACAGTTCCGCCACCCCTGGACAATGTCCGTCGTTCAGATATCTTCCGTCTAATTGCTCTTCCTCCCTTCATTCTTTCGTAGTGTGGAACCCGGAAACGAATATCTCGGGATGACGTATGGACTTACTGCAAAGTATAACGAGGAAGCAAGACGAGAGGGTGGATAAGGGAAGGAGGTCTTTTCTTCTCGGGTGAAAGAAAGAATCTTATCTGCCGCTGGTTATCGCTCGAGGTCTTAGAGAGAGGAGGGGGGGGGGTTGCTGACGATGACCATCGTTCGTCCTACTCAACGATCGTGGATGGAAACTCGATGGATGGAAAGGGGCGAATTCATGGGCGAAGTCGCCATTGTGTAATCTCAAACGCGGACGTTAAAAGTGACCTAATCCTCGATAAATTCAATAATTCCTTGTCACGCTGCCGCCGAATTCATCGTGCTCTAATCAGATCCTTGATAATCCTTGTCTTTATCCTTCCGAACAAAATCGATCAAGTTTATCATGAAGTGACAAATCTTATATGAATAATTGAAGAGCGCTATGTATAGAATTAGAACTCTCATATTTAAATTTTTATGTAACAGAAATAAAAAAAAATATTTGTCACGAAGCAACAAAAAACATTATTAACAAGCTGCGCAAATATTGCCAAATAAATTCAGCTCGCGAAATATTTTGTTCTTTGTCCTAATTTTTTAAATCCTGCGAGAAGAATACTACACTGAATACATAAACTATGTATTATGATACATAATAGTAATACACGTTTGTCCATCTAAAATAAATACTATTTAAGCAAATTAGAATCTAAACTTGCGTAACCAATGTGTAGAATTTAACATTGAATACCTATATCTGGATTAATCTAGATTCGTCGAGATTCACAATTACCGTGCTCATTCGTGCGCACAGTAAACTCGCATAAATTAAACTGCACCAGTCGCAGAGACCATTTCGTTAAGCTACCATAATAAGGTCCGGTTTAACTTGTGGAAGGAGTACCGTATTGCTCTGAACATTTTTCTTTTTGTACACCATCGGGCTGCAACACCAATATCAACATTGACGATGAAGGACACGTCCTAACAAATGACTTAAATCCCCTTCTCTTTCGATTTCAGGTTTTCTACCAAGGAGTCGGCAACGCATGCCATCGTAGCGGTACATAATACAGACATCAACGGCCAAACGGTAAAGTGCAGTTGGGGCAAGGAGAGTGGAGATCCTAATAATGCTCAGCAAACTGGACAGGTAAACGCTTTCTATCTTTTCCTTTTATCCGCTTTAAAGACAAAGACTTACGTCTTTCGACGTAAAATTCCACTCTCTGTATTCCCCAGCATTTACATTGCTTTCCTTGCTCGTATTAAATCGGAAAACTTTCCTACTTTATTTCGTGAATGAACATTAGCGCCGATTTTTCTTGAGATACAATGTAAAATACAAACAGTAATGTCACATCAGTGAATATGAATCATAAGAGACTATGCCGCAGAGAATTCTGAATTGCTTGAAAGAGAATACAGTATATACGTTGACATTAATATCCTATCTAATCTTCAATGTCGGCGCGTGCATCAAAGCGATGAATACAGAGCAGATTCCTCGATATAAATATATGTAGAACTGAAGCTTGCTATTGTTATATGTGTCACTGAAACTGAATAGAACTGAACATTCGCGTCTCGAGGAAGCAAGCGTGTTCGAAGAAGGAAGTAGTTACTATATCCGATCATACGGCCGATTCCTTCTGGTTTCGCGCGGCTAAAACCGCGGTCTTTGTCGGTATATCGTGTGTATGACTTGAAAGTCCGACAAAAGAGTAAAGGCGGAAACACAGAGAGAGAGAGAGAGAGAGAGAGGGGCGAGATTCCGGTCTATTCAGATGTCTCTCTTCGAAGTGTGTCGGACCCGGTCTCTTAGCAATTAGCTCCGTTAGGACGGGTACGTACGCCCGATCTGGGAATGGTAGCCGAAGTACTTCCCAAACCCTCTCGCACTCCCCGGTAGTACTTCCGTGCATCCATCCACTGCTACTCGGCCCGTGACATCGCTCTAATTGATCTCTATTCCCGTAACGCGCTTCTCTCGGGAGAGCCGAGATATCACGTTAGTACGTATCCTGCCATACCCTGTTCTCGTATTCAACGGAATCGAACTAGTTTGCGTGATATCCCGGTTTATCGTACCCGCTTTAACGAAGAGCGTAATAGCTGCGCATTATTTCCATAAACTTGGAAGCAAAACTATCAAAAAATGCAAGATTGCGGTAGTGTAAATATCTCATTTGAGTAATATAACTTCATCGATATTGTTTCCCTTTTGATAAGCTTCGGAAAACAAAAATAATATTATTTAAATACTAAATTTTCGACAAATAAATTGCTGTCAAACGCAAAATAAATATTTTTGCGCGTATTATAAAGATCGATTGCACACGTTTGCATGAAAAGCAAACTGTATATCTGGCAAAAATATGTTATTTTGCGACTATTCGGCAGAATAATTTGATCTGATTTCACATTATGCACTAAAGTAATGAATGAGTTCACGCGAGGAACAGCGAAATAATAAGAAATAATTTACGTGACGGCAATGAAATGATCGCGTTGAGACTTCTCGCGTCGCCCATTTCAAGTGAACGACCACACAAATCTTCGACGGAACGAAATTACCATTTCTGACCCTATCGACATCGTTAAGCATAAAATCCAGACAATGTTCTTGCTCTTTTCTATTTCATTGATCTTTGTGCTCTTTCAGGCATTATCGTCGGCGACGTACCCATACTACGCGGCGGCGGCAGCTGCCGCCGCGGCGGCGGCGGGTGTCGCGGGTGTCGGAGGCGTCGGTGGCGTCGGCGGTGCTGGACAACTGGGATACTGGTATCCACCCCAATCTTATCCTACCACAGCGACACAAATGCAAGCTGGTGGCTTTCTTCAAGGCATGCAAGGATACACCTATGGACAGTTCGCCGGATATCAACAGGCGCAATATATGGGGTAAGCTTTTCACACGAGATAAGTTTCTCCTTTCCGTAATCGAAGTTTTGTACGGCGAAGTTTTGAATAATCGACATTCAAGTGTAATATGAATATATCATATCTTCATTTCCACCGTCCATTTCTTTTTCCACCGTCTACAGATGATGTGAGACAATTCGACAAAGAATTTAAAATCGAAATAACTTTAAAACATTAATATTAAGGGGGCTCTTATTAGAAACATTTAATTATTCATAGTTAACATTTAATTATTCATAAGAATATAGTTTGGATATAGAGCTTGACTTTTTTTCACCAATATATATTGTTTTTGGTAAAGTGGTTAAATTGCTATTTTAATAAAGTGGCTTATAGACAGTAACATATACTATAGTATTCCGATAAGTTTCAAACAAATTTATCGTTTAATGACAAAAACATATTAACAATATAATATCGTATGATGTATTCCCGACATTAATTATGTCAAGCAAAATATCAATGCACTCGTTTATTGCTTTATAAAATTATATAATTTGACAATTATATATTTCTTGACAATTATATATTTCTTACGAACACAGAATGGGCATGGGTGCTGTCCATGCTGCTGGCACAGCAGCAGGATGGGGTCAGGGATTACCTGGGGGACCACAGTTACCACCACACCACGCCACGACGGTCACGGCACCCCCAGGGGTGCAAGCCGCACCCCCGCCACCACCGCCACCGGCACAAATGATGGCCTACCCAATGCAACAGTTCCAGGTAACCATTATTTTATCTATCCCATCTGTATACGCGTGCAAGTGTACGCTGTACTTGTTTGTGTGATGTTCGTTGGCTAACACCCGAGTGTTTCGCTTTTTACATACCTTTGCATCTTGCCCTTGTTACGTCCAAAAGCAATTTCGTCGATACCGTTATTGGCTTGTAAATGTTGCACGTGGAAATTCGATGCGATATCAAAAGGATTCGAAGGCATGTGTCGACAGAAGAGTGCGCATAGTACATAT